GAGTATCCATGAAATCCATGGACAGACTCTCACCAGGCCGTTCCGGAATCGGAAGGGGCTTCAGAAGCCCAAGAGGAGCCTGAGTACGTGGCTTGTCCCGTTGACAAACTTGACAAGTCTCTACGTACAACTGAGCATCTCGCATCATCGTGGGCCACCAGAACCGCTGCAGCAGGTTGGCTGCGGTCTTTTTATACCCAAAATGGCCGGTGGCATCATGACACTCGCCTAGAAACAAACTACGCAAAGACTCTCTACTTGGGACACACAATCGTTTATTGCCATCCTTGTCAACGAACAGCAATCCATTGACCAACTCAAACTCAGCAGAGGTCTTCTTGCCCTTTGCCTGGAGTCTGCGTATGATCTCAGACATGAACTGATCCTCGCGATAGGCATCCACCAAAGAGCGAGTAACATTGTCTGTGAGATCGAACTCAGTAATCAGCGCTCCTGAAAAGTCAGGTCTACGCGACAAGGCATCCGCCACCTTATTGTACTGCCCTTTGAGATATTGGGGGTCGAAGTCATATTGCTCAATGACTTCGATCCAACGCTTCAGAGTGTCAGATAGTACGGGCTGAGTTCTCATCCATCTCAGGGTCTGATGATCAGTCCTGAGGATGAATAATCTCCCTAGGAGATAGTGTCTCCAATGGGTCAGAGCCTTATACACTGCGTAGAGTTCCTTCTCGTAGGTGGACTTTGCCAACTTCTGAGACGGCATCTTTTTCGACATGTACTCGACTGGCCTCAACTTTGGCCCCTCTTGCTGCGCGAGCACGGTGCCAATGCCATATTGGCTGGCATCTGTGGTGACTATGAACGGCTTGTCAGGATCGGGAAGTTTCAGGACTTCACAGTGCGTTAATGCATGCTGAAGATGTCTGAAAGCAGCCTCGGGTGTCAAGGCGGGTCAGATCAGTCAAAGGAGCGGGCACTATGCTATAGTTCTTAACGAAAGTCCTATAGTAGCCTGTCATTCCTAAGAAAGATCTCATCTCAATCATAGACTGAGGACGCGGCCAGTCACGAAAGCTGGCCACCTTCGCGTCATCGGGCTTCAACCCTTCCACGAAAATCTCATGACCCAAGTACAAGACACGGGTGCGGCCAAACTCGGACTTCTCACGGTTGATCTTGAACTTGTGCTATCGCAAGAGACTGAGGACTTTGTCCAAGTGTGCAACGTGCTCCTCGACATTCTTACTAAAAATAAGTATGTCATCGAGGTACACGATGACAAACTTATCCAAGTAGTCATGGAATATCCGATTCATAGCGTGCTGAAAGGTGCCAGCAACATTGCAAAGGCCGAAAGGCATCACCACAAACTCGTACAGACCGTACCTGGTCTGAAATGCGGTTTTTTGTTCATCCTCAGGCCGGATTGCAAACTCGTGGTACCCGGACTTCAGATCTATCTTACATAAGTACCGGCACCCTTACACTCTATCTAGCTAATCGTCGATGCGCGGTAGGGGCTCTCTGTTCTTAACAGTGATGGCATTGAGCCCCCTTATAGTCAATGCACATCCKAAGTGTTCCCTCCTTCTTCTTAGGTACGAATAATACTTGAGACCCATAAGGAGAGACACTCGGCCGGATCCAACCCTTCTCTACGAGTTCCTTGAGTTGTCGGCGAAGCTCATCGAGCTCGCCTGGAGACATCCGATAGATCCTACCCTTCGGAATACTAGACCCTGGGATAATCTCTATCGTGTGGACGACCTCCCTTTCAACAACCCCTGTTGGCTCTTCAAATAGATCAGGGTACTTAGCAACTACTCCCTCTATCTCCGACGGCATTTTCAACGGCTCGCCTGCAGCAGAGACATAGACTAAGTACATACCCTCCTTCTGATTTTGCTTAGAATAATTGTAGAATGTGGCCGCACACATGCACCTATAGGACTCAATCAGACTACTAGCTTTGAACTTATGTAATTTGGCAGTCCCTCCACCTGGCAAGTTGTGTTTGACCACTTTTTTGTCCCAGTCAAACTGGGGCTGTGCTACAGAGAGGTAGTACATACCTAGTAACATGTCCATTGGGAGCTCGTCACTCACTAGGAATGAGACACGATGTCTCAAGTCCCCTCCCGCGTACGGGAAACAACACTCTACATCTTGGAGGTAGTCATTGACTACCATGCCCTGTTTGTTGGCACAGGTCGACTCCACAAGTCGACTCAGGCGCTGCACTCGCCCCAGTAAACGCAGCCGTTCAACGCACGCGCGACTAATAAAGTTCCTAGTTGAGCAAGTGTCATAATAGGCCCCGGCCTTGCGACCGCCAATGACAACCTCCCTGACGAACATCTCACCCTTCGGGGCTTTGACTAGTGCCGTCCAAGAAGCTAGTGGGTCTGATTTAGACCACTCTACCTCTAGCTCCTCCAAGGACTCAAACACATTCATCGAACAGAGGCTTGATGGGTCTGAATGTGTTTGCGGGTAGACGCTGGAGTCAGTAGCTTGGGCCATCTCTCGAGATGGTGAGGGTGTCTCCACCACCTCGACCCTAGCAGGAACAGCTACTATTCCTACTGGCCCGACGTGTTTCCCGGAGCACTGCCAGAAGTACTAGCAACATTGCTACCAACGGGATGAGAGGATCCCAGCACTTGCCCCATCGTCGGCGGGATTTTTTCTGTCACTTTCTTGTTGCGGCACTTGAATTGGCTGTGGCCATATTGACCACAACGAATACAGGCCTGCTGTGAGTAACGGTCTCTCCACATGTCCTCAGTAAGACCCGCTTTCTCCCATGGAGGAGCATTGGGGTCAACTTGACTCCTAGACCGGGAGCCTCCGCGGCGTCTACCGGTCGCCTTACCTTTTTGAGAAACGACAGCGACTACTCCACCCTCTGAAGCTTCTACGCTACCTGCCTCTGAACCTACTCCCTCCTGGAAGTTGCCGTCTAACTCGATGGTTGAACCATCGTTGTCGACAAACATGATGCGACCCTTCGCCTTCCAGTTGGGAGGCAGTGTCTTCTTTCTCCCATCCGTAGTGGGTGCCTTTCCATGCCCTATCTTTGCCTCAAGGTCTAGGGCCACCTTGCTAAACGAAGGAAAGTTGTGCATGTTGATATCGGCCTCTTTTGCGAACTGGTTCCTGAGAGGCTGTGAAAAGCATCTCAAGTACGAAGTCAGTAGGACCTGGGGGTCATAGCGCACCCCTGGGACACAGATCAGACGCTCAACAGCATCGGTGGCTTCCCTTACTGACTTAAACTGCCGCGTGTGCAGTGTCAGGATCGCATCAGTGGTCCTTTGGGCCTCCTGAGGATCATGCCACCTCTCTTCCACCATCTTCAGGAAGTCCTCCAATTTCTGGGAGGCCGCCCAAGCGCGGAAGTCATGACCATATCCCTGGAGTTGGACTAGACCGCTCAACCATCTTGCTGCACTACCCTCTAGGTAGGAAGCAGCCACAAACACTTCTTCATGCGGCAAGGTGAGTTTACACCTGACGTAGACCGACACTGCCCTCAACCATGTGTCGAGGTCCTCGCCTCTCTTGTCCCCTGTAAAAGGTTTGGGAGCGGCGATGGCCGTCTTTGGAACCCACTGAGTTTGTCCCGGTCCCTGCGTCACTCCAGGCTGTGGACCCGGTGACACAGGTTGCTGTGCCAGCTGCTGGGGCTGCGTGCCCTGAGGCTGCACAGGCTGCGAGACATCAGGCTGCGTAGTGACTGCAACCTGCGACGGACTTGGAGTAAACACTGTCTGTACAGGAACCTGCAAACTACTCCCTGTTGTTACCCCTCCTGACAGCGGCATGCCCAGGGAAACGATAGCAACCGTTGACGGGGCTACATATGGGTATACCCCTGTCACCGGTGGGACAGAAAAAGGAGGATATGACACGGGCCAGGCACCAGGCCCGGCTGGTGATGGTGTTGCCTGAGCATGGCCTGCCAAAACGGCTAGGCTCTGTTGAATGTCCTGAAGGATTGTAGTTTGATGCTTCTGCATCTCTATAACGCCTAGCAGGGCCCTCCTCACTACCTTCACATCAGCATCCATATGCGTCAGGTCCATCAATTCTAACTCCTCTATATCTGCCCCTCTCCGCTGCATCCTGACTCTTCTTCTGATCATCTTTTCCTTTTCGGCTTTTATCTCTCCTAATGCCCACTGTAGTTGTGCCTCCTGCAGGGCTGCCTGCTGGATGGCAACATCCTCTGGAGTCAACACCGCGGCTTGGCTTGCCATAATGCCAGTGGACTGACTCACGGTCTGCGCGACCGTTGACCCGACGGCACCTGAACTACCGGCTTGGGAAGTCTGCTGCGCAGAAGTGACCATGGCTGCAGTGGCCATGGCTGCTGTAGCACCGGCCTCGCTAACTAAAGTTCTGCTCGCCTCGGCTGCTCTAGCCCTCCTCTGCTCCTGCTGTCTCTCCCTAAGCCGACGGAATAAAATCCTATCACCCTCCGGTCCTAGGGACACGTGAGCTCTCGGGCCTCTAGCTGATCGCAAGATCCTTCGGTCATCCTCTCCGATGTCCTCCTCGTCGCTCATAGGCTACAACATTGTGCACTGTCTACACTAGATCATACTAGATGCCTACCGCGAAATAGTGCACAGACCCACTAATTAATGGGTGGGTATTTCGGAACAGATATCATTTGAGGTCAACAGGTAAGTCAGATTCCTACAACTGAAACTATTTTTAGTATGACTAGTCTGCAAACAGAAGCACCAGGAACAATCAACAGTTCTAACTAATGTTGTCTGTCAGATGTCAATGGCAGTACATCTAACTAATCAAAATCATAAAAATAAAATCAGTTGTGTGGATAAGATAGCATGGCATTTTCTCGAACTTATCACCTGGAATCAACCCCTCCCTTAGTTCCCCTGAGTATCTCTTGACGTCAGCGTCCCTGAGCGATCTGGAGAGCATAGCGTGTCTAAAGGTGTGTGTGTCCGGCCCACCCCTCTGCCCCGAGTATCCACTGAGCCGGCCAGCCTTGCACGTATATTTATCCTCGGCGTGCCGCGAGCCTTCCAACCATTGACTGATCCAGGGGCAATTTAACGTCCGCCCCCAAGTGACTCGAGGAATTATTTTATGTCGCAGTCGGACGACGATCACAGTCAATGGTTCCCCTTCCTGTGTTTATTTATAGACGTCGGGTGCTCGTCTTTCCTGTAGGGCTGGCCTGCCTAGTGGTACCCATCTAACAGCGCAGCAAGCCGAACAAAGGACAAGCAGCTAGGCATGCGTGCTCTACTCCCTGTGGGTTGGCATGGTGATCGTGACCCAGTGCTTCGTCCAGGGCCCTTCAGAAAGCTTCGCCCATCTCCACCCAGATGCTCCACGTGAACATTGCCGACTCTCAAGGTTGAGCGCACACGACACCTCACAATGAGAGGACTCTCAAGAAGGAACACACAACCTCACGGTAAGAAGTGTCGGAGAGGGAAGATAAGGTTAAGAGCAACGTACCTCATTTAGCTGCCCCCAACCACAGAGATAATCTCACCAGATGGCCAAATGGTGATTGCGATGACCAGTCACTGCATCGGCACAACCAGCATTATCTCGCCGTTCCACCTCAGCATCAATCGCACATTAGATAGTTCTCATCACACTGTCCAGACCACATTCACCTCACATAGCCTTCCTGGCGAGCCCCTCACCTCCTGGGTCGCCTTCACACTCGTCTCCACCCTCCTCACTACACACCACTTACGGCCAAACTCGCCCAGCAGACTGCATGTATGTACCGCATAAGGCAGAAGACAAGCGTCAGATGGGCGCAATTGTACCACAACTCCGATACCAAATTGCAAGGAAGATGAGCAATAGCGAACTTCAGCAATCAAACAGCATCGTACATATGAGTCCAGATAGTCTTGACCTCGAACCAACAACAGAATTGCATCACGAGATTCACCAAATAAGAACACACCAAGAGTTCATAATTGACAATGCTGAAATAGTCCCATCATTATCAATGAAGAACCAGAGCTGATATCATATCTGGCGCTCGGCGCCCAGACTACATGTGGCAGATCCTATCTAACCTATACTACGAAACCGAAAGATGACGTCAACAGCATTCCCGAAGTACGAGCATATGGCGACCAATGTCGCACGCTTCCAGCACCAGGTATGTCTCGTGCTACACTCACAACCTCGTTCCCCAACTCATAGATGCCACTAGCACCCAAGGACCACCCTGCGGTTCACCCAGCTTACATCAGCGCAACTCGGCTATGGCTGCATGCTCCTTCCCTGCTCGCCCGTGAGAGCGTAGGYGCCAGCCAGCAAATAGCGCAGCAGCAGTGCTTGCGCAGCATGCAGCCAGCGCCCGAATGCCGAATGGGGAGGCAGGCCCTTCCCTATATCGAAGTGGCCTGCCTGCGTCCAGTCCCAGGAAGCTTCCAGTAGGCCCTGGGCCTGTAGTGGTTGCATGTGCCCAACTGCCTTCGGCCTTTGTTTGGCCCGGAACCCGTATCCAGCCCAGGGCCTGCTTCACATTCATTCACACAGGCGGCCCAGGGCCTGGGTTCACTCAACCAACTGGCGCTGCGCAACTGCCTGAATTTCCCTAAGTTGCGTAGTGGCCAGAAAAGGGCCCTGAGGGCCTCATCGAGCCTGCCTTCACTTAGGGCGGGCGACGGGCTGCAAAAATGGGGCCTTATGGGGCTCATAGAGGCAATGGCCTCGCAAAAGTTCCAACTTTTCATTTTTGATTAGTGGCTCCTTATCTGGAAGATCTACCCGATTTCCCCACTCCCCACCTCTCCCTCCCAACTCCTTCTCCTCTTCTTCTTGCTCAACGGCCCATCAGTCTGGCTACAACCTTGGTAAGTCCCTACTTTTGCAGGCCACATCAGCTACCCGCGACACATGACCCTGCTCACTCATTCACAGACAGCAGAGATGGATCAAAAAGCCAACGAGACTGACGAGGCCTATGAGGCACGTTTGGCGGCCATCATGGCCGAAAGCAAACAACGGGCAGAAGCATCAGCAGCAGCAAGGAAGAAGAGGGAGGCAGAGGCAGAGAGGCTGCATCGGATCGCCGAAGATCAATGACAGAAGCACGCAGCAGCAGCAGCAAAGGCTGCCGATGAAGAACGCGTACGGCGGCGGGAGATTCTCTTCAGGGAGGAAACTGTGTTACACGCACAGGCCAGGGATTGGCACAAGGAGGCCGAGAATGGAGACTCCGTTGACTACGGGACAAGGATTGCTCTCTTGCTCAACCGCGTCACGGACCTCCTCGCTACTTGCATTGCACAACAGGAGGGCATTCACTCTCTCCACCACGCCAACCAGGCGCTGACCAAGCGCATACAGCAGCTGGAGCAGCGACCCATCGCCACTTCCAGCGCCGGCCCCTCCGACCTCGTCGACCGCGTCAACGTCTTGGAGATAGACGTGGGAACACTCAAAACCGAGACACAACGACTGGACCAGCAGGTGGGGGCAGCAGCCACACCGAGCTCAGCGCCTCGTGAGAGCATCCCCAAATTTGAGGGGCTCCTGATCTTCTGTGATGCATCGAAGACGGAGCCTATACCTTGGTGGCGCCAGTTCGAATTAAAGCTGGACATCCACCATGTCATCCACACAAACCGGCATGCATACTTGTACTCCCGGTCAGGAGGTGCCTGCCAAGCATGGTTGGACAACATGTTGTCCGCACATGCATGCACAGTCTCCGAGTTACACAACTTCATCACCTGGGCCAATCTCACGGCGGCATGGAAAAAGCATTTCCAAGTGGAACCGCCCGAGCATCAGGCGATGGACAATCTGCTGACATTCGCACAGAACAGCATGCCAAGCAAAGACTGGATATATGAGTTCCAACGCCTGGCGAGCACGCCCAAGCTGCCGCTGAACTTCGACGGCATCAAGCTCTACTTCATCAAAAGGTCGTGCCCAGCATTGCAAAATGCGTTAACTCAGGTCGCTGAGAACCTCAACACAAGTGACGAACTCTTCAACAAGGCCGCGCAGATTATTGTGACGAACTTGGAAGCCAAGAACATTGGCCGTTCATCGACAGCCGGCCAGGGCGCATATCAGAATCGGCTGAAAGTGGTCGTGGTCGCGGCAGCAACGCCAAGCGACCCTTCAACCTCAAACGAGGCTGCCTCTTCTGCCGAGGGAGACATATTAGCAGGTGCCCAGAATGGTGGCCGCCCCGCCAAAGGACGAGGACGCGGCAAAACCAAGACAAACACTTCTTCTGGGCCCGGACAAGCAACTCCAGCTCAAGAACCTTGGACACAATACGGTATGACGGAGCGCGGGTATCGCGTCCACAGCAAGTACCGTTATTGTTTGTGGTGCAACTGCGCGGCACATGAGACCGTGAACTGTCCCACGAAAGCCAAGGGCCCCGCCCAGTCGGGAAAGTGAGCACCGCCGAGAGTGATGCGACGACACTCTCGACGCCTTCAGAACCGGTTGTCGTACGGGTAACCTCCCTCGGTTCCGGGGCACATGCGGAAGTCGTAAGTCCTCCCATTCTTCATTCTTTCGAGGACTATGCTGCTCGGCTCGTACCTTCGCTGAATTCACGAGCCCAAGGACAGGATGTATGTGCGGTTTCTTCTCCGATCGGAAGCAGCAACATTGAGTCTTCTTCAAGTTGACCTTCACAGGATTCGGCACACGCGTTCAACATAGAGGACTTGGACCCGTTGACGCCCGAGGATTTTGCATGGCTCCCTCTCCCTTCCACCAACTGCTTACCGGAGCCGCAATGCCCAGCTCTTAGCGCTCATCTACATACATACCTAGCCTTCTATGCAACACCAACTTTGCCAACGGAGGACGAAGTCACGGTGGGGGACATTCTTGCGTACGTTAGCAAGGTGGCCCGCGAGTTTCGTACGCAGCGGTACGACGACAACAACGCACCATTCCTTTATGTCCGCATCCAAGTTGGGCAAGCATCCCGCAGCGCTTTGCTGGATAGCGGCGTGACTCGCAACGTCATTAGCCAGTCCTTTAAGCAAAGGGCCGGCCTTGGACCACAAGTTCGAAGGAAGGCACACCCTACGGCGATCAAGTTGGTGGACGGTAGGACGCAAGAACTCCTTGACCGCTACATCAAGGCCATACCGGTCTATTTCGCACCTCATGCATGCGAACCGGTGACGTTTGACGTCTTGGACATGGACTTCGACATCATTTTGGGCATGCCTTGGCTTGCATGTGCGGATCACACGGTCAATTTCCATCGGCGAACACTTACGGTCCGCGACGCGTTTGGTGCCGAAGTACTATGTACCATCCCTCTTCCGCACCCTTCGATCCGGTGCCAAGTTGTAACAGCTAAATCTTTTCGGGCCACTTGCGCTTACGAGCAGACAGACGAGATAGGCCTATGTTTTCTTTGCACCGTCGCGACAGCCGAATCTCAACCCACGGACTTGTCTTCGGACCCCCGTGTGGTACGGTTGCTTGACGAATTCGCCAACATCTTCGAGTCACCTACCGGCGTGGTGACGGATCGGCCGATATCCCATGAGGTCATTCTCGACGCCGGTGCCGTGCCGCTGAAAGGTTGCATCTACCGCATGAGCGAGGAGGAACTTACAGTACTGCGCGCAGCTCGACGATTTGTTGGACAAAGGTTGGATCCAGCCTAGTAGCTCACCCTATGTTGCGTCGGTTCTCTTCGTGTGGAAGAAGAACAAGGATCTTCGCCTATGCATCGATTACCGCAAGCTCAATGCACAAACCGTCAAGAACGAGGGACATCTTCGTGGTATTGACGACCTTCTGGAGCATTTGGGCGGCGTGGATTTTTTTTCCAAACTGGATTTGAAGTCGGGGTATCATCAGATTTCGATACGCCCGCAAGATCGCTACAAAACCGCGTTTAAGACACGGTACGGGCATTTTGAGTGGGTCGTCATGCCTTTCGGACTCACCAACGCCCCGACGACTTTTCAAGCAACGATGACCAACGAGTTCCGTGCAATGCTAGACCGGTTCGTGCTGGTATAAATGGAGGACGAAATCCTCGTTTATAGTCAGACCTTGGAGGAATATCTCGAGCATCTTCGAGGAGTGTTGGAGACGCTCCGTCGCGCCAAGTAACCGCGACAAGTGTGAATTCGTACGTCAAGAGTTGGAATACTTGGGCCATTTCGTCACTCCTCAAGGCATCAGTCCGTTGTCGGACAAGATTCCAGCCATCCAAGATTGGCCGGAGCCGCGGAACGTTACAGATATCCGTTCGTTCCTTGGCCTTGCCAGCTACTACCAACGTTTCATCAAAGGGTACTCGAAGATCGCGGCCCACTTATCCAAGCTTCAATGCGAGGACCGACCATTTGACTTCAGGACGGATGCGCGGGAATCATTTTTGGCCCGTAAGGCCGCATTGCTATCAGCGGAAGTCTTGTGAATATATGACCCGTTATTGCCAACGCGCGTCACTACGGATGCGTCCGGCTATGACATTGGTGTCGTCCTCGAACAACACGACGGCGTGGACTGGCACCCGATCGAATACTTCAGCAAGAAAGTGTCGGTCGTGCATTCAATTGATGATGCACGCAAGAAGGAACTTCTCGCCTTCGTCCACGCACTCAAGCGGTGGCAGCACTTCCTCCTTGGTCGACGCCAATTCTGATGGGTAACAGACAACAATCCGTTGGTCTTTTACAAGACCCAAAACACCGTCAACAACACGATCGCCCGTTGGATGGCCTTCATCGACCAATTCGACTTCTTTCGTGATCATATTCCGGGGAAGTCAAACCGTTTTGTGGATGCTCTTTCACGGCTCTGGATCACTGCACCGCCGTCTACTCCACCTTCGAGATAGAGGATGACTTGCGGACAGTTTCATCCACGGCTATCAAGCCGACCCCGAATTTCGCGACAAGTACGCAAATTGTTCCTCTCCCAATTCGGCGCCTTCGCACTATCGGATCCAAGAGGGATACTTGCTCGTTCACTCGCGAGGAAAGGATCTACTTTGTGTGCCGCAAGATTCACACTTGCGCACGAGGCTTCTTGGCGAGTTCCACGACACCCCCGCCACCGGACACTTTGGAGTCAATCGCACAATTGGCCAACTCCGCGAGCGCTTTTGGTGGCCTGGTCTTCTCGACGACGTTACGCGCTATTGCGAGTCATGCGAGGTTTGCCGACGTTGCAAATCCCACAATCATCGTCCGTACGACGAACTGCAACCATTACCGGTCCCCTTGCGCCGAGGGAAGCGATTGCCATGGACATTACCGGGCTGTTCCCCAAGCACAAGACGGGTGTGGATGGGATTCTCACGGTGGTTGACCGACTCACCAAGTTTGCCATGTTTTTGCCTTGTCGTTATCACGCCAAGGCACTGGAGTTGGTCGAGGTTCTCTACGCCGGTTGGATTCGAACCAAGGGTTACCCCAAGGAGATTGTCTGCGACCGCGATACTCGGTTCATGTCCAAATTTTGGTTGGCGCTCATCAAACGATGGGGCTCATCCCTCAAGCCGAGTTCGGCTCGCCACCCCCAAACCGATGGCCAAACGGAGAGGGCACATCAGACCGCACAGGTCCTTCTTCGCACTCTTATCGGTCCCGACCAAAAGGATTGGGTCGAGCGGCTGCCGGATATCGAGTTGGTATACAACTCGTCCATCCATCCGGCTATCGGGATGTCGCCCTTTGAGTTCGAGCATGGCTCGCCGGTCGATTCTTCGTTGGACACAATCATCCCACGGACGGCTGAGAGCGACGACCATCTTCTCTTCATTCGTCGGATGCAAGAGCTTCTTGTCAAGGCACGCGACCAGATGTCAAAGACGCAGCAACGTATGCGCCAACAGGCCAACCGCCAGCGTATTCCTTGTCCGTTCCACGCCGGCGACCTCATATGGGTTTCCGCTGTGGAATTCAGCCTCGAACAAGATATCTCTCGCAAGCTCCTTCCGAAATGGATGGGGCCCTGGCCGGTCGTGGCACGCCGGCACACGGACGCACCCGAAGGACCTTCATTTATCATTCAGGTGCCCGCCCACTTGCCCGTCAACCCGGTCTTTTACTGTTCCAAGTGGGCTCTCTACACGCCAGCGGAACTTGACGACTTTCCCGGGCGACGATCGCAAGACCCACCCTCGATGGACGGTTTCCAAGAGGTTGGCGACATCATATCCCAGCGACGTTACGACAACAGGCCGACTGAATTCTTGGTCCATTTTGCATATTGCACCCATAGAGTTTACCGTTGGTTGACCCGTGTGGAACTTCAAGCAACAGCTCCCAATGTCCTCGCACGCTACGAACGCAAGTTGCAAGGCAAGCCGGCATCTTCGGCTCCACGCCGCACCCGCGTCCTGGTTCCACCTTCAGATTGTCAGCTTCGCCCTCGACCCGGCTTGACTTCATAAGGAGGGAGGGGGGTTACATGCTGCGCCTGCACACGGGCCCCATTTGAGGGGCCCGATGGTTGCTGAGAGGCCCCCAGGCCGCGTACCATACAGCACCCGCCCTAGAGGCCCACGGCGGCCCTTCAGGCCCTAGGTAGCACACTAGGTAGATAGGCTTTGTTTACTTACCTTTTGGTGTGTGTGTGTTGTCTTATTTTTGCCTGTTCAGATGCCGTTTCGGACTCRCARCCCCAAGGCCGGACCTTGGGACTGGGTACACCAGAGACAGGCCCGAAACGAGGCCAGGCGCATTTTGGCGCCAAACAGACGTCGTTTCGGTCCTGTAGGTCCCAAGGCGACGCCTTGGACTAGGTGCACAGGAACAGGGCCGTTTTTAGGCCAGGTGCATTTCTGCGCCTTGCTGCATCAGCAGCGTGGTCTGGACGTCCGGTAGGGACCCAGACCAGCTGGGCCGTTTTCTGAGGCCAGAAGCAGGTAGGCCCAGCCCGCCCAGCGCTACAAATAGCTGGGCAGYGGCTGGGCAAGGASAGTTGGAGTAGCTCACTTCTGGAGCGACACGCTGCTGGTTGAAGCAGTGTTATTCTGCACCAAGCTACGGAGTAGGGAGTAGCGGAGTAGGTAGTAGAGAGGGTGGAGGCCTTACCTGCAAGCGACGAACTTCCCTGGCGCCATAGCTGGGCTCTGGGCGGTACCTGCACACGATGACGACCACAGTCAGTACGGTGGCAGCTACCTGCAGGTGAGATAAAAAGGAGGACGTCATCTTCTTCTTCTTCCTCCTCCATCTYTCTCTCTCCTTTCTCCTTGTTCCTCCTCTTTCTTACCTTCTTCTTCATCTACGAGAGTGAGAGAGGATARCGGTAGGGAATACAGGCAGAGCTTATGTTGGGCACATTGCCCAGGATCTGACTCGACATTTCCAGGATAGACATTGATTGGACAATCGGCAAGGGACTATTTTTGGGACTTCGCTATTGCGATCTGGGTCTACTCCCTCGCTTCCTGCTCCTTCATCYCGTCCCTTCCCCCCATCTCTCATCCGTGGTATCTCCCCATGTATGTGTGTGAAGGAGGGACCTTTCTTCTGTGTTTGCGGTCCCTCCTCCCCTCTRACATGTGCGATGTATGATGGATGTCGGGTCAGTACAGATCAGATCAGATGTTCTCTTTTAAGTCTTCCACTGCGCCACTTTGTGCCATCTTGTATGTATTCGGAATGTACATTGCTTGTTGATGCTACGCTGACCTTGCATTGTCCATTTCAGTCCTTTTCATCACATTGCGGATCCTTGGCTCCCTACGCATTGTCCCATTGGGCATGCATCACCTACCCTGCCTATCTGGACTCGGGCCCTACCTGGGGCCCGTGTGGCTCAGAATGCCACACAAGGGATCTACTTCATAATGTCACAGCAACACTCACCTCACAAGATGTTCTAGCTGGTCCAATCCTCAGGGTGTAACAGCCAACTTCACATTTCAGCGCATTGCCATTTGGAGGTGGAATGTGAATGGGATTCGTAATGCATTTTCGAAAGCAGAGTCTGACAAACTTGAAAATACCATCCTGCATTCACTATATCAAAGCTTTGAAGGGTTTTACCTCATTACATTATGCACTTTCCTAAACGTTTCCACATCTTGTATGAGATGTAAAGTGTGCACTGTACAGCGTTTAATATGTGTATTTAGTATTTACTTAAATTTCATAAATAGATAAAAAAATTACGAAATTAGTCTAAATCTGCATCAAGGAAGGAATTCTGCGAATCTCAAGCCATAAGCAATACCTGATATTGGTTGGCCTGTTGAGCTTGGAGGCCTGGTCAACACACTAAGAACCTCTCTTGGTATATCAGATCTGCAATGAACACGAGCAACTGAGTTGAATAGGTGCTTAAGAAAAGAAAAACTTTTTATTATTCAGCAAATTAGGGGGTTGGCATGCACACATGCAAACACACTCACAGAGAGTGGTGGGTCGTCTTTGGAGTACGTCAAGTATCATTGGAAGTTCTCTCGGGATATTACGTCATTTGAAGCAAGATTGTTCTTGGGCATCGCTTTCATGTTGACTTGGTTGAAGAACGTATAGATGTTCAGTCCTGCCATTGCAGCCTGTATCATTTTTTTTAATATTATTATTATTTATTTTTTTTTTAACCAGAGGAGATCGTGCTTGTCCTTCTAGCAGAGCCCCATCTGACTGCTCCGGTCTATTGGTGGGGAGAGACACCTGCTGGAAAGCGGGTCCAGCGTCCCATTACATAGATGGTATCTCCGGGGCCATTACCCGGCTTCGGCTTCAGATCCAGTATCCCAGCGCCCGTCGGATCTGAGGCATGCTGTTGGCAGCCGGGGCTAGCGGCTCAAGCAGCACACCAGTTCATCAGCCGGCAGCCTATCAGCTATGTCCTCTTCAGGAGCCCGCAGCTAAATCAGCCAACCTAGATGGGGCCGGAAATGCACCAGGGGACCCCGGGTTCCCTGGGAGACCCCAGAGATTGGTAAGCCCAGGAATGATTACTGCTGTGGTTCTCCCAGCTAGTGGTCGCACTCTGTGATTGTGGCAGGGATGATGTCCTTGCTGTGCTCCGTCTATAATAACCACCGTCCAAAGTTCTTCACTATCTTGGATAGTCACAGCTTCCATGGTGTCTACTCTCTGATGTTTGCTCTTGCTGTGCACCTCCCATAACCTTTGTCCAAAGTACTTTGCTGCCTTGAGTTGTCAAGGCTCCGATGGTGTCTGCTCTCTGATGACTGCTCTGCGCCACGCAATGTGGGTAACCTCGGGACTTAGCACTGGGGTGGGTTTCCCTATCACGGCCAGGGAAGTTGCTGATACAGGGGAAAGAGGGGAATTGCGTTTTCAAGGAGGGGTGATGTTGAGGTGGGGTGGGGGGGGTCACAGGGCCAAGTGAAAGTTAAGTGCTTTCCTGTTAATGCTGTGAGTTTGTGTTACATGCTGATCCTGCACACGGGGCCCATTTCAGGGGTCCGACGGTTGCTGAGGGGCCCCCAGGCCGCATGCCCTTCGGACGCACGCCCTGGAGAAATTTATTTATTCATTTCTTTATTTATTTGCTGTCCTATTTTTGTCTGTTCAGATGTTGTTTCGGACTTGCAGCCGCCAAGGCGGTGCCTTGCGCTGGGTACACCAGGAGGCAGGCCTCCACTGTCCAGGTACCGGGTCTGGGCGTCCGGTCAGGACCCAGATTCTGTAGGCCCACGTTTTGGGCACACGTTTGAGGCACATGCCGGTAGGCACGCAGAGGCAGATCACCCGGCCCAGCGCTACATATAGCTGGGCCACGGCTGAGCAGACACACAGTTAGAGTAGCTCACTTCTTGGGTGACACGCTGCTGGACCAGCGCTACGCTGGAGTAGAGGTAGAGGAGTAGGTAGACAGATGGGCAGAGGCCATACCTGCACCGACGATACTTACCTGGCGCCATAGCCGGGGCTCCACACCAGTGACCTGCACATGACGACGACGACGACGGTCAGTACATGGCAGCGGATACCTGCACGTGAGACGGAGAGGAGGGCGACATCTTCTTCTTCTTCGTCGTCTCCATCTCTCCTCCCTCCTACCTTCTTTGTTTCTTCTTCTTCTTCTTCTTCTTCTTCTTCTTCTTCTTCTTCTTCTTCTTCTTCTTCTTCTTTCAGAGAGAGAGAGAGAGAGGTTACTAGGAGGTTACATTGGGCATTGCGCCCAGGATCTGATCCGACATTTTTGTGGCAGACATTGATTGGACGTTAGACAAAGGACTATTTTTGGGAATTCGCTATCATGATCTTGGTCTTCTCCCTTGCCGCCATCTCGTCTCGCCCTCTCCCCCCATCTCTCATCCGTGGTATCTCCCCCATGTGCGTGTGGAAGTATTGACCTTTCTTCTGTGTATGCGGTCCCTGCTCCCTCTCTCACATATGTGGTGTATGATGGGATGTCGTGTCAGTATCAGATAGGTCAGGTCTATCTTTGAGTCTTCCGCTGAGCTACATTGTACAATTTTTGTATGTATTTGGATGTACATTGCTTGTTGATGCTTTGTTGACATTGCATTGCCCATTCGAGTCCTTTTCATCACTTTGCGGATCCTTGGCTCTATATACATTGCCCAACTGGGCATGTATCAGTTTGCTTGCCTCGAGGGTGCTGTGGGTAAACTTGCGCTTAAGCTCCTGTTCCCTGCTTGGGCCGCTTTTGATTTTACATCAGACTTGGGCCCAGTCTGTAAGGTTACTAAGGTATTTAAGTTCAAGTCTTCCCATGGAAGGATTCACGCGGTAGACACCCAATCCCGGTCCCAGGGTCCCGACAACTCCCCAGTCCCAGGGCTGTCCAGTAGGGTAGGCCGTAGGGTCTAGGGGTCCGAAACGTCGTAGGTCGGTTACCGTAGGTGTCAGTACCGAAGCGTCATAGGTCGGTAGGAGTCCGTCCAGTACACGACAAAGAAAGTCCGGAAGAGTCCAGTCCAGTCCGACAGTCCCAAGTCCAGTTTTGCAGCATGTCCCAGGAAAGTCCGGAAGCTACCCGACCGACAAAATGTTTGCAGCAGACAGGCCACGACCGACCAGTACCAGTCTGAAGCAGGCCAAGCCAAGCCCAGCGAAGGAAGCCAAGACCTATATTTAACTGCTACAGTGCAGGGGCTCATCACTTGTTCAGTTGCGAGATGGGGAAGCGCTGCTGCTGCTTGTGCGTTAAGGCAACTTGGGCACTGTGCGCCTGAAGAAGAAGAGGGCCCTTGTGCGATACTCCACAGCTAGGCTAGAGGTAGAGCAGAAGGACGGCGGCCATAGCCGCCAAGGTGTATACTTACCTGAGTGGGTGTATCCAGAGTGACGATCTAGATTAGCGAGAGAGAGAGAGAGAGTGAGGAAGAGCGAGCCAAGTCAGAGAGAGAAGCAAGACGAGAGAGAGAGAGAGAGGGAGAGAGAAGGGAGAGAAGCCATAGCCGCCATGTTACATGCCCAGATGGGCGATGTACATAATAACCGAGGATCCGCAATGTGATAAAAAGGACTGAATGGACAATGCTGTGCAAGTGGAATCTCAACTAGCAATGTGCATTCCGATACATACAAAATGGTGTTGAATAGCGCAGGGAAGATTTAGATACAAGACCTGACCTGACCTGACAGAGACTGACCTTGATCACGTAGTACAAGGTAGTGAAGCAGAATGCTATAATACTGATGACTAGCCCAATCAACGTTTCAACGTAGACCAAACATACATCATGCTCATCACAAGGTGTGAAGGAGCCTGGCGCCATACACAGAGAGGAAGCACCAGGTCCAGACATACACAGACGAAGAGGAGGGGATCAGACGAACAAGAGGGGGAGAGATGGGAATGTTGTTGACACCAAGTCTTTGTCACCAGTCCCAAATAATCCCTCGTTGAAATGTCTGAAGCCCAAAAGTCGAGTCTGGATCCAATGTCACCAAGCTCTCTCTCTCTCGTTGTCTCGTAGTCTGCTGATGCAGTGAAGTCAGATAATGAGAGGGTGAGAGGAAGATGGGGGACTGAGAAGAGGAAGAAGAAGAACTCTCTCTCTCTCATGAACCAGGTACTAACCTGTGAAGTTGGCGCTGTGCTGCAGGTACCTCGAAGACGAAGCTGGAGCAACGACGCTGCTGGTAGGTATGTTATGAACTTGGTTGTCTGACAATTTTTACCGCCACTCACACACAGACAGTCTCATACATGCCCATGCATGCATAAGAGAAGGGGGAGAGGAGACAGAGTCCACACTGCACACAAATCAGAGTAGGCAGCGAAAGTTCAACCATGCACAGATGGGGAGAAGACACTCAATGTTTCTCACTCTCTGACAGACTCCCAACAACCAATCACAA